ACCATTTCATTTAAATACAAAGTTTTTACTTTAATTTATTTGCCACTCTGCTTTCATTCCATTTTTATTTTCTGTGTCACTTTACACTATTATTTTTACAAAGTTCTTTACTTAGTCATTGTCAAATTCCTTTACTTTTCTAACACTTTTACTTAAAAATTTCGAACGCGTCAAAATCCTTTATATTTTTTTACATAAAACTCAGAAAGATTTGTAGCACTATGTCTTAGGATTGTCTAGTTTATCCTACAAGTAACCTTTCATAAGAGGCTAGCGATTGTTTAGTAAGTTTCACAGTAAATAGGGATATGCATAATTGATTATGAGCATTAAAAATCTCATTGCTAGTTTTCCATTTTAAACAGAATTCTCTCATATAAATAGAGGGTTCTAATAAATTGTAAAATCACATAAAAAAATGTGTTTTAACACTCTTTATCACTTTATACTCCTTTTCTTCTCATTTCTCTTTTATCACTATAATTTCCTTAGTATTTTAAGAGTGAATATTATCGGTGAGACTTTTGTTTTATAATCTCGTTTAGAGGTGATCTTGTAACTTGTGCAAGAGGTTTTCTTTATCTCTTGTATAATATCTTTTGTGAAGCCGTTGTTTGGTTTGTTAGCTTATCCCGTAAGAGCTCTCCTTTGGTTTGTGAGATTTTTTTTTAAAGTCTATGTCTAGTTTGTGAGCTTTACCTATTATAAAAGCTCTCATTTGGTTTATGATATTGTCTGTCAAGATATTTATTTATTTTGTGAGTTGAGCATAATATAAAAGCTCTCATTTGGTTAAATATTATTCTGGTATAAAATCTCGTGTTTGGTTTGGAGGATAGTTAATATGAAACTCCAAGTTTGATTGTACGAAGGTTCAGGGTATAATCGGTAAAAAGTTCACAAATCTCATGTTTGGTTAAATGAACATTGACAAGTCTCCACCGATGACAACATTCAGGATGACTCTCAACAAGATTGATCTGAATAAGCAATCGATCATATTGATTATATATGATTTATCCCACACACACAAAAAAAGCAATGCTTGTTCTACTTCAACAAACCTTGCCTCAACAATCATCTAACATTTACCATCTCAATTCCACTTTTAATATGCCATCAGTTGATTCAATCTCTTCATTTTTAGATGGTTACAACAATGCTACATGGATATTAGATATTGGGGCCATAAACCATGTGTGCCATTCCATTCATTTATTCACTCATATCATTGAGATTAAACTAATTCATATTCAACTCCCTAGAGCCTCCATTAGTATTGGTTTTAGGGATACATAACCAATCCATAACCATAAATAATATATATGTTATAACTGGTTATTAAAACTAATTATAATAATTAGTTTTCATTTTTGTAAAATGTTTATAAACCGGTTATATCCATAACCAAATTTATAATTAATTTTAAAAAAAAATATTTATGTTCAAAAAAATTTTTTATCAATAGAACTATATTTTTATTTTTTAAAAAATGGTTATTAAACTGTTATCAAAATATAGTTCAAAACAATATATTTATGTTCTATTGATAACATTTTAATGTCAATGCAATAATATTGAAATGTTATTTCTTAAAAAATTGAAACAAAAACTGTTATTAAAAAAAATATATATTTATGTGCACACATTGCATTGACATTAAACTCTAAAATGGTTTTAAAAAATGGTTATAAACTGTTGTTTCATTTTTTATTTTAAGAAAATATATTTATGTTCAAAATTTTTTTTTAATTTTTGAAAAAAGTATTATTTTATTTTTAAAAACTTTTTTTTTGAATTTTTTAGTATTTTTATATTTATTGAAAAAATATTTTTTTTAAAACAATCTTTTTCCACAAAACTATTTTTTTTTTCAAAAAAAATATTTTTTTTTCATAAAAAAAATATATTTTTTTTTTAATTACAGTTTTTGTTTCAAATTTCTTTTATATATAAAATTTGATTAATCTGATTTTTATTTTAGATATGAATGTCCAAATTATGGATTTGGTTATAACCATATTAATAATATATCTAAAATATGGATTTGGTTAAAACCAAATTAATAATTAATCGATTTTTAATAAACGGATTTGGATATGGATATGGATAATTTGAATAACCGGTTTATTTGAGCATCCCTAATTAGCTTCTTTGAAATTCTCGCCTGCCTTAACACATTCTACTTAAATGATGTTTTATTTATCCGTGAATTTTACCCAAACACGAACTAGAGGATGAGCTGCTGCAGAGCAACGCCCCACGGCAATAAAGATCAAAGATGAAACTTAGAAAGGGAGGTTTGAAGTACTTGTACATCAGCATAGTACGCCAATAAGGTATATTGGTGAATCATGTTTAGAAACTCTAGGTCTATTAAATAATGTTAATTAGATGTTCGATCAACTTGGTTGGAGAAACTTTTTATACAACTTAAAGAGAGTTACATTAGAGTTTTTGAGTTACGTCAAACATGATATGGCAAGAGAACCATGGGGAATTTCAGTTCAGTCTCTTTTAGATTGTTCAACCAATATTTTTTGTATAATCAAAATGAGATATGGGATTTGTTGCAATTTAATATAATGAGAAGTGAATGGGTTCCTATGCATGGGCTTGTTGCATTTGATTTTGGCCTATTTTGGAGGCGGTTAATCAGACATACCGCCATCAATATGGAAGGAAAATTCCTCTGATATCCACAACCCGACCATTAGATACTTTCAAAAAGTTCTTGCACACATTGTCTTTTGTTGAAGCAATAGAGCCAGAAACAATGCCACAAAAGAGCTTTACTTTATATATTGCGTGTTTCATTCTCGAACTGTACACACTAAGGCTTTCACGCTCACACATATGGATAAAGTGACAGAGCAAAAAAAAAGGTGACATTGTGATTGGTGGTCTGATAACTTCCCTAGCCGAAGCCTTAGGTTTCAACATTAAGATTAGATGGTTGCAGCCTGTCATACGCAACAATGCGTTAGACTTAACTTCATGTCTTGCACAATAATTGATTAAGAAGAGAGGCTGAGAGGTGTATGTCTTGATGATTAGAAACAAGACCATTTGTAGCGCGGTGTTGTCGAACCCGACAATCACCAACGTGTAAGATGAAGAAAACAGGTTATGTATAGTGGGCATTGATGCCCACTCTGATGTTGAAGACGATGTTGATGATACAAATGTAGATATGGATAGGAGATATCAAGTCTCTCCACCCCATCCTCATTTATCCTCATCCCCATCTCCACTTCCACAACAAAACCAACTCAACCCCCCTCCATATGCAAAATGATTCTTTTGCAGGTAATCCATACAACTACTAGAACAACATTGAGTATGAGCTAAACGTTCTAAGATATGAGATAGATAATTTGCGGACAGAGCAAACAAGTAAGAACTTATAAGGAGCAAAATACGATAATTTAAACAATCTCAACTATTTCATAATTTGACTTATTTTTTTCCGGATGATTAGATATGGTGGCATTCAGTTGTCCGACTCTAACTGATCTCGGTTTAGGTTATATCTATCATTTCTTTTACTTATATTTTTTAGCATTGAAAATAATGTTTGATTTAAGTGTGGAGGAGAAATTTATTGTTTTTTAATTTAGATTTATTGTTTTCTAATTTTTTTTATCACTTTTGTTTGTATGTATGTCCATTAAATATTATAGATATTAGGTTAACGATATAATTTTGACCTTGTAAATTTAATAAGAGACCAAGTGTAAAATGAATACTAATACTATTTCAATTAATATCAATTTCCACTTGCAATTTTATTATATAAAAAAAGAAGAAAAAAAAGAAAGGTGGCCTAGCTTAGTCGAAGTATATTGTGATTATCTTTTAGTCAAATTAATACAAAATAATTCAATACAATAGATTAAAATTGAAAATATATCACTAATGTTATATACAATGGTGGAATTAAAAGCTTAGTGGGTTGTTCTAAATGGACTTTTTTGTTCTTGGTTATCTATTTTGATCTACCCCAAGTCCATTTCTCAACATTACACAAGATATAGAAAGTTGGGAACTTTTTCTGTTGCTAAATCTGAATTAATACAGTGCTAGTATACATGATTCTGGATGATGGATACATACAAAGAGTTGTTATTACACTATTAATTAGTGGGTGGTTAGATTTGCCAACCCAATTAACAAGTATCCTTAGCCACAAGATAAAGCGGTTGTAAATTCGGTATAATGATACCAACATGTGCATTAAAGATAGGAACCACATGGGAAGGTTTCGGTTCAACCCACCTTACCCATTATCCTAAGAAATGCCACTTCACAACTTAATTATATGTCTATCCCTTCATTACAACACTGTTTTTTTATTTGTCTTCTAATTATAATTTAATCCAATTTTCAAATTCAATTAAGCTGATTCGTATTCAGACAGATCATTTAAGCTGTCAAAATGACTTTTATTGCAGTTCATGTTTTGGGTCCAAAGTATACTCTTACATATTTTTGATTATTTTATGAAAGAAGACATTGACCCAATCCAATTAATGTAGGTTAAATACCTATACCACCAACTTTTGATGGACTATAGTATATTTTACATTTTAAATCATTTTTTATACCGTGTATGAAACTTACCTATGATAATCGATTATTTGATTGAGTAATATATAGTACTATTCACTTAGCTAAGGTTAAAAGTGAATGAATGAAGATATATAAATATAATTGTAAACAACACTAAATAAAGAAATTGAATGGATGAGTATGAAAGTGACGAATCCAATAGCAATGAATAAATTTTGTCTGTACAGATAAAGATTAAACTTAAGAACAAAACAAAATCTAATCCAAAAATCCCCAACCCAATTTAATAGAAAAGAAAATAAAAACAAAAAAATTGGAAACTAGCTAGTGCGTGCTAGAATATGTGCGATTCATATTCACTGCACTATAACAACAAATTCAATTCAATTTAATTAAAAATAAAATAATTTTACGGTGTGTGAATAAAGCTACGCCGTTTCGTCATTGTCTTCCTCGGAAAACAGACGCGGCCGTTTGGCGGTTACCGGCAGCGGACTTTCCACCTCTTGTTCGCCATTTCCGGCGAGATTGACGTTAAGTTTGGTCTTCTTGGAATCACCAGTGGTGAAATCTACCGGAGACCAGAATTCAGTGAGAGGTGCTGGTAGGTTGAGGTCGAAGCCACGGTGGCTGATAGAGGAGGACGCGGCGGTAACGTCAGAGATTGTGATGTTACTACTGTTATTGGCGTTGGCGTTGCTGTTACTGATATTGTGATTGTTACTCTGTTTGTTGTTGTTGGTGTTGTTATGGATACCTCCTTCGTAGTGGCAGCGTTTGTGTCCACCAAGAGCTTGACCAGTGGGGAAACTCTTGTGACAGATGGAACACTCGTGCATCTTTCCGGTGGTGGTGGTGGTAGTTGAGACGGTTACGATGTCGTTGACGGCGGTGGATTGGTTTTCTAATGAGGATTTGCGGTGACTGGCTTTGTGACCACCGAGTGCTTGATAAGAAGGGAAAGCTTTGTCGCAGACGGTGCACCTGTGATTGAGCTTCAGAGGCGGTGGTGGTGGCGGTGGAGACGTTTGTTGTGATTGTGATTGTGAGGATGATGATTCAGTTTGGTGATGAGATCGAGTCTTGTTGTCGGTGTCGTTGGTGTTCCCTTGTGCGAGCATGATGAGACAAAGAGCGAGATATTCTTCTTCGGTGGGTGGATTTCCAATACGCGGTCGTTTAGATCGTTTCTTCTTAACGAAAGAGTCTTGTTGCTCAAGATCCTTTTGATTCTTCTCTGGTTGGTTTTTGAAGATGGGGAATGGAATAGGAGCTTGTGTTGGAGAAGAATTCATAGCTTGTAACTCTAAAGCCATTAGGTGGAATGAAAAATAGTGTTGTGAGTGGGTGATATAGTGAAGAGGGTAAGGGGGTTTATATAGAAAGAGAAGGTAGAAGTGAATGAGATGAGTTGGTGACTTGGTGTGAGGGAAAAAAAGAGATGAGTGAAGTCGGTCAACTAATGAAGGATGAATGACTTTTTCCAAGTCAAAACTATGCTTTGCTTGCTTGCTACTACGTGATACGTCTGCGCTAAAGTTTTTTTTAGGTGCGTCATGATGGTGTAAGTGTGTGGATTAGGAACTTATTTACTATCAACCTTCCAATTAAACTAAGGTAATGGTTTTGGTTATCCGCTAATCAGAATTAGGAAAATCTCTAATTCTCAAAACTGTGGATGGATGGATATGTATGTATCTACGTGGCTCTGCCAATCGGAATTTTCGTTTCTTGCTCCGTGTAAAACACGGTTTTATACTTTTATTCATTTTTATATATTACTATTATTACTATAATTACTATTATTATTATTTGTAAAGTAATTAGTACTGTATGTAACTGGAATTTTGGGTGTAGAAGTTGGGATTAGAAAACGTGGGAATATTCTTGGACTGTGCTTTTCTAATTTTCTTTTTGGCGATAAAACTTAAAAGCCACCCATCTAAGATTTTAGAGTATTTTATTTGCCGTGGATTATGAATGCTAGCTTGGTCTTTTAAATGTCAACCAAATGTACTTTGAATACTTTAATTGGAATGATTCCTTTTTATTTCTTTATTTTTTTGTTAATGGATGGTAAGTAAATCGTGAAAAGAATCATATTCATTTTTTTAGTTTAATATAGAAAATATTTAACATTTGTTTTCTGATTTTAAAACATCAAATGAAATAATCCTTCTCTCTTAAAATAAATATCACATTTGATAAAACTATTTGTCCTAAAATAAATAAGATTTTTAATTTTCAATACAATTTTAATTTTAATTTTTCAATTATACTTTTTATTTAATTTTTTTCACATGCATACTATTATTATGTTTGATTCATGAATATACATCGTAGGTTATTTAATTGTAGAAATTTGATAACAAATGGTTAAATAAATTTTAAACAAATATATTATATCATTTAGAATTTGAGTTAAGTTTAATTTAATTTTACAAAATCATCTCATAATGTGAAGACTATTAATATATGTTTAAATTATATATTATCTAATAGTTTTTAAATATTTTAATTTTTTATTGCCAATTGTTTTATTTTAAATATAAGATATTTTAAGCTTTAAAAACATGGAATATAGTCAATATTTTGTTTATATTATGAAAAAAAAATTCTATAGTATTTTTGTTTATTGCATTAAATTATTTTTTAATTCAAATATTTTTATTCAGATCAATCTCAAATTTGTTGATTATTATTTCTTTTAGAATTAATATTTCAATTGATTTCAAATTTCTTAATTAGTACGTTTGCAAAATATTATCTATTTAAAAATGAGCATCATTTACAATTTTGTCTTTTTAGAAAATAAACATTTGTTAAATTAAAAAGTGTGAGTCATATAAACTATCATTACATTTGATTTTTAAAGATACACTATTTTAAGATACACCAAAACAATTTTGGATGAATAAATACTAATAAATAATCATTATTATATCAATATTTTTTCATCAACGGAAGTCGAACTTCGTCATTTTAAATTTTTTAATAATATATTTAACCGATATAAATTATTCATCTTCAAAATCCTAGTTTATTATATAATATTTAATTTTTAAAAAGTTATTCTATACATGATTCAATATAAATAACTCAATAATTTATTCAATTTTTTAATAGTATATTTAACCGATATAAGTTATTCATCTTCAAAATCGTGATTTATTATATAATATTTAATTTTTAAAAAGTTATTCTAAGCATGATTCAATATAAATAACTCAATAATTTATTCAATTTTTTAAACATTTTATATTCAATCTTGATTAATTAATATACAAGGAAACAACTCTACCGTATTCAATTTTTTTCATTTATTATTACAAGATTTTTTCAGCAAAGAAAGTACAAATAAAGTATATTCTAACTTATTTTAGAACATACTCTTTATCATGAAACAATTCCAAATTTGATTAAATAAAAAGAAATCATTCAAAATATTTCTTAAAATCACACAACCTTTCCTTAGATGCATGAACAGAGGTTTTAGATCCGTATCCAAATTGATATTAGTAGAGTAAAGCACATGTATAATAAAGGAATATATTGGAAAGCATATGGAGTTTTTTACAAAGAAATAACACGTAATTGACTGTATTTAGATAACTTTGTTTGAAGAAAAAGAAATATTGACCAAGTACTGAAAGAAAGTAATATAGCGATTGGTCGTGTGTATTTTGCTTCGCGTCATGGCTTTGATCATTGTTATCAATTTGTGGTTTCCACTGTTCCCACTTTCCTCACTCACTCCTTGTTTTTCCTATTGGTTGCCACATGTTTTTATTGTATTTAAGAGATAAATCTAATACTATTTTGAGTAAAAAGCTGTTTAAGGATAAACTATTACGAATTTAATTGATATGTATTTACGATGTAAATTTTTTTTATATTTTTATTTTGATTATTTAAAAAATAATATTAACGAATAATTATAATGTATGAATAATGTAAAAAAGTTTATATTGTCCGTACATACTAATTAATTTTAACTATTATTATTTTAAATAAAAAAACTAAAAATAAATATAATATAATTAGTCAGTAAAATTGTGAGCAGAGAATACTCAATTTATAAAAATATATTTTTTATTTTGATAAAAAAAATTAATATTGAATAAAAATATGTTATGTTATTGTATAAATATGACCACTTCAATGAAACTAATTTTCAGTCAAACATAACTTTTAGAAGAAAAAAAGTTTTATCTTAGGTGAACAATTTAGTATTCTTTATTATTCAGTCTTTTAATATTATTTTTATTTTAAAATTAATTTTTATTAAAGATATTATTTGATTGGAATATGGAGTAGAGAACCTGTCTAAAGGAGGTGAATAAATTCTTTTAAAAATTTTGATCGATTTTTAAAATGTAAAATACGAGTTTTTAAAAAATTAAGACCTTGTGCTTGAATTGAAAATTAATTATAGATATAATTGCACAAATTAACAAATATCTCAGATTTATTAGAGATAATATTGAAAGAGTTACAAGCTACGATGAATTGTCACTTTGTAAATTACACGAGATGTTTTCTTTACAAAATCTAATTTCTATAGATTCTAACACCACATTATGCATAATTTAATCAACACTAAAACAAAAATAAATTCTGATTCTAACAAAACATACACTTACACAATAAATCGTTACTGTTCTGGACTGGACTGGCACATACCCCACAGTTGGGTAAGGCCCAATCCAATTTAGCTTAAGGCTAAGCTCAATAAGGAGGGTAGGACAATCTAGCCGTTGAGCACAATATAGTCATTGGGCACGATATGACCGTTGCACACAATATAGTCGTTGGAGCATATATTCGGTGGGGAGATCTCCCTCACGCGCTTGACAGTTCACGCGACCAACTGTCCCTCCGAAAGTCACAGGGACAGCTAGACCAGGTCAAATATCACGCGCTAGATCTTTCACCTGGCAGTCCCTCATTGGCCGACCAGATATTTCGGTCACATGAGAGACCTTGGCCCCGCGCTAGGGGGAATCTCATAAATACCTTCTCTCTTGAGAAGGTCAGGTATTCTAATCATTCTCACTCATACCTAAACACTCGTACTTGCTTTCTCTATAGCCCAAAAATTTACTTTAGAATCGGAGTACCTTGCAGGTACACATCCCTCATCTCCTACAACCATTGTTGCTGCCCTACATTGAAGGCAAAAACGATCCATTATGATCACTTCAGATCATTGGCGCCAACTGTGGGGACACCAGCTCCCCCGTCTTTTTGAATCAAGATTTCCCAATCTTCTCGAACAAAAAACCAAAGCTATCTCTTTGAACCTTCATCGTCGTGGCCTCTCACCATATTTGCATCCATCAAGATTCTGTTGTCGCCACTCTAGGTTGCGGCGAAACCCCCATTCCCGGAGCTGCCACAAGAGAAACTGATCACAGGGACGGAAAACCGACATCTCCTGACAACGTGAAGCCTCGTGTCCAAAGTTTCGACCATGTATACGAGCCTATCATCGTCCCACAAGATGTTGACCCCTGCATTGCGTCCCTCATTGCCAACAAATCTAACTATCTGCTCTTCCAACAAGGGGAAAAAATCCACATGCTGGAGAACACTATCGGAAACCGACTTCACCCGCAAGTCCCTCAGATCATCTCGCCGGTCACATTTCCCTCTTTAGAAGCGTCGCCGAGACGAATCTAGAAGCATCTCCCCAGTCAAAGAATGGTCCAAACTGGAGAATCATGGATACGAGATCACCAGAAGACGCGATCGTACCCCTCCCTGAAGGTCTAGGCACTCCCTAACACCCAAAAAGACCAGGCCTTTTGGAAAACCTCACGAAGAACACCGAAGCTGACACGAATGTTCTCCTCGATGCAGTAGAAGACGGGGACGCAATCATTTTTTTAGCAGGTCACCAAGCACGAGCAGCGAAGGCAACATCCCTGGCCCCCTGTCACAGGAAATCATGGACACCTGTATTCCTCACGGACTGGAGAAACCTCCCTCGCTGGCTCTCTATGATGGTACCACCGATCTTGGTGACCACTAGAAAACATCGAAGCCATGTTGTATTACCACAATGTCATTGGGGCAATCAAATGCAGGTTATTCCCCATCACCCTCAGGAAGGGGGATTTGGCTTGGTACAAGAGCCTTCCTCGGGCTCAATCACATCTTGAAGGAGTCTGAAGGAGCAGTTTGCCTGGCACTTTACTGCCTCTAGGCGTTATCCGAAATCTGAAGCCACACTTGAGGGTATCATCCAGGGTAGGGACGAGCCTCTTCGCAATTCCGTTGACAAATTCACAAAGAAAGCGATCGAAATCCGCAC